GGAGGTCGGGGAGACGTCCGGGAAACAGGTGTGTGCGCCTGGAGGTGGGTGGTGCGCAGAGCCTTTCAGCAGAGGGGACAGCATACGTGAGGGCTCAGAGGCAGGATTGCCGGTGTGCCGGGGGGAAACCCGGAGGTGTGAGCTTGGCCTGAGTGGTGAGAGGGAGGCCGGGCATCCGGTGTGGCCTCCTGAGCAGATCGAAGGATCTGGGGCTTTAGCCTAGAGCAGCAGGATGGCTCTGCGGACGTTCGGTGAGCGGGAGGGAGTGGCTTAGTCCAAAGTGCATTTTGGGACCGTTGTTCTGGAGGCTGGCTTGGCGCTAGCAGTAGGAGAAGGCCAGACAAGGTTGTGGGGACAGCCAGAGAGCACGGGGCCTGGAGTTGGCCTCTTTCCCACATACGACCTTCCCATAGAGCTGGCGCCTAATCGCAGCTTTAGCACTTGCTGCCTCGGCTGACGACCAGGTTCCTCTAGAGAAGCCTCGCCTGACCCGACTCACGGCACCCGAGGACGGGCAAGTAAATGCCTTTGAGGCGGAAACAGACAAATCACCTTGTGAGAGAATCTGACTCGAAAATCGAGCCCTACCAATTGGAGGCAATATTTCAACAAGAAGTTTTCAACCCAGAAATTTCAAGAATTTTCAGCCCATCCACATGGGCTGATTGGACTTTGATGGAGAGGCAGGGGCACGGCTCTTTTCATCTCCTCTGTTACCCTGAAAGGGGCCTAATGAGGCAGCGGAAGCCCAGAGAGGTTAAGGGACTTGCCCAGGGCCCCACAGCTAAGCAGCACTGGAGACTGAATTTGAACCCACTGCCTCTGACTTCAAAGTTCAGGCTGTTCTCCACTGTAGAAGCATACCAGTGGTCAAGAACCAACACAGTAAGAGAGAGACCATTTATTTTTTATTTTATTTTTTAAAAAGATTACTTATTTATTTATTGGACAGGGAGAGCGAGAGAGAGAGCGAGAGCGAGAGAGAGAGAGAGAGAGAGCGCACAAGCGGGGGAGTGGCAGGCAGAGGCAGAGGGAGAAGCAGGCTTCCCCCTGAGCAGGGAGCCTGATGCGGGGCTCCATCCCAGGACCCTGAGATCATGACCTGAGCCAAAGGCAGATGCTTAACCAACTAAGCCATCTAGGCGCCCCCGCTTAACCGACTAAGCCATCCGGGTGCCCAGGTGCCCCTGAGAGAGAGACCATTTGTTGATGCCTCCCCTGTCTCAGGGCCTTTGCACTTCCCTCTGCCTTGGTTCTCTTTCCCCAGGTCTGGGTGTGTGGCTGGCTCCTTCTCAGCACTCACCTTTGAGGTGACATCACCTCTTCAGACAGGCCTTTCTCGATCCCCCAGTTTCAAGTAACAATCACCCTTTCCCCACTACTCATTATTCCGTTACTCTGTTCTGTCTTCTTCCAGGCACATATTATCTGAAAGTATCTTTTCGATGTACTTGTGCGTTTACTTTGTTGCCCCCCCCCACCCCTTCCCTTGAGGGCAGTGACTTCTTTGCTTTCTTACTGCTCTTTCTGGCACTCGGAACAGTGACGGTATGTAGGGCTGTGGTAAATGTTTGTTGAATAAATAAATGCATTAATTAATTCATCCCCCCCCCCCCCCGTTTCATTTTCTTCCCACCCACTGGCACAGAAGAAGCACCTGCCGCCTGGCCAGGATGTGTGCCTTGCTCAACGTCACTCTGCTGGATGGGGAGTCGGGATGGGGGCCCAGGTGGTCTCCGCACAGCGGGGCCCGGCGGGTCCCAGCGTCCCTGTTGCACTGCCTGCGTGCTGTGTTGTTTTGTGGACCAGGTGTAAACGCTTCCCAGCTAGAAGCCGTTTGTTTGGGAAATGTTGCTCCCCCTCCGCGGGTCGGCTGCGTTCTCTGCACGGCGGCTGACGTGCTGCTGAGGCTCCATAAATATTAAATGGGTATTAAAAGAAGGCTCTGCGTTCCCAGTTTCCCTGATTTCTTCAAGCAGGGCCCATTGCGAACCCCCTTTATGTGAAATGCAGCATTTCACTGCGGAGCGCCTCCTGGGACACCTTGCCGCCCGCCTTTTCTGGCTGAGTCCCTTGGTGCAGAGCCGTCCTCCCCCGCCCCCAGCTGCAGGCCGAAGGCAGGGCCTGTAGGCTCATGCCCCTCGGGGGCAGGGACGGGTGGAAGCCCCTGAGACCTCCCCTTTCAGAGGGCTGTGCCTGGCCGGCCAGCCTCCCTGCAGGGTTGTGCGGTGGGCGAGCGGGAGAGGGACCAGGAGTCTTCAACCTCTAGCCGAGGCCTCTTGGCACCCCCCCACCCCTGCCAGGTCTGCGCTGGGCACTAGGGAAAGAGACTGGCGAGACACGTACTTGGTTCCTCCACCCATCCCTGCATCCTTTCATCCCTCCATCTATTCATCCATCCATCCGACTGTTCATGGGTCCCTCCCTCCTTACCTCCCTCCCTGGAGCCATTCATTCACCAATGCCAGGTGTATGCAAGGGTCTGCAGTGGCCCTGGGGTGACAGTAATAATGTTGGGACAATCGCTAACATTTATTGGGCACTTACTACGTCCTGGGTCCTGTGACAAGCGGTTTCCACGTGTCCCCTCATTTAATCTCCATGACTGAATGAGGGAGCTCCTGTTTTCCCTGCATTCCGTGGCTGAGGAGACAGAGCCTCCTGGAGGCGAAGCCAGTAGCTCATGGTTGCAGAGCTTGGCGGGGGGAGGGGGGTGGCGCTGGAGCTGCCGTGGGGGGCGGGGAGTGAGTGAGACCCAGGCCCTGCTTCCAGGAGACGTCTGGCTCCTCACGGCACCCTGGAATGAGGACCCCGATCAAGGGCTCTCAGGAAATTCTGGCTTTGTCGAGGGGTAAAGGGCGCATCAGCTTTTGCCCGCTGGAGAAGGAGGAAAAGGGGTCCGGGAGCCCTGGCGTCGGGCTGCCTGCAGCGCGACCTTGGTGGCCCGCGCCCTCTGTGCTGTGCCCGACAAGAGTCTTCACATCTCCAGGTGCGCCTCTCCCCTCTGTAGGTTGGGAGGGTAGGGATGTCCATCTCATAGGTTGGCGGCGAGGCTCGCGGAACAAGACCCCTGCGAAGCGTTGGACGGATCCGCTCCAAACGGGAACACAGCACCCTGTCGCTGATGGGCTCAAGGGGCGGGGAGGGGGGGGCTGGAGCCCTCGGGGCACAGGACCCCACGGCTGCCGCCAGGGCTTCGAGACGCTGGGGCTGGGATTTCCGGCAGGGGTGTGTTCCAATCTGCTGGCATTTGAGAACTTTCGGGCTCTCCAGGCCCTTTTGCTCACAGTCGACACCCCGTTCCGCAGATGCCCCGGTACCTGGGCAGCAGCTGCTCACAGCAGGCCCTCGATTCGCAGGTGTTACATTGAACTGAAGTGCGATCATAATAGGAACATGGAGTCTTCGCTGAGTGCTTGGTACCCGCCAGGCGCTATGCTCAGGATCCCCATTCATTTAACCTGCACAGCTGCCCTGGGATGTGGTGTTACTGTTATCAAACTGATTTCCAGGAAGAGGAAGCTGAGGCTCAGAGAGGTTAGGACATTGGCCCAAGGTCACACAGTGAGTCTGTACAATGTTAGGGCTTAAACCCCTGTCTGTCCAGATCTGGACCTTGGGAGGTCTGGGCCTCAGTGTCTGCGGCCCCCAGGCCTCTCCCAGGGTTACAGAGGGAAACAGGTCAGCTCCCACAGGGATTTTGTGAGTCCAGAGGCCAGGACACCCCCACTAGGGCACCTCAGAGGCCTGCCAGGCCGTCTCTGCTGGGAGAGCAGAATCACAGAGAAACAATTAGCAGGACAAAGAACAGGAGCAAGTGTATTCTGGGGGGAAAGCAGATTTTGTTTCTTGTCTTCCAAGTGGAGAAGAGGGAGAGATGTGGGTTTTGAATTAGGATGCCTTTTTTTGGGGGGGGTGGGGGAGGAGGAGGATATTGCTGTTTATTACACCTTGTATGGGCACGATCGTTGAGATTTTTAAAAAATTAATAATCCACTTCACATGTAATTAAAATGTTCTCCAATCTCTAATTTTTGTCGTTTTCCTAATCTAATTTGTTTTCTGACGGTGTCGATTCTTCTTCCATGCGCAAAGCAAAGGGGATTTTTCTTCGTTTAACGTGACTGGGATATGACTGACCAGGAATAGTTTACATGATATTATTTTCTCCTCGGTTAAATTCAGTGCAAATGGAATTGGAGGGTCTTAATGACCAAAAATGGAAACAAAACACAACAAAACATCTTCAAGTCCTTATCTCTTGACACAGTTAAAAAAACTGATTATGGGAACGCATGAGAAAGCTAGCTGGTCTTAGAAAGGAGGCATTGGCTGTGGTGGGCAGTGTGTGAGCCTTTCGGGGTAGGATGGAGACTGAGCCGGGGCCCGAGTCGGAATCGGTCAGAAGGATGTTAAAATCCAGTTGCTGCAAATGCAGGCGGCACTTTCCGAGGGAAGACAGGGCAAAGAGAATGATGGCATTTGCAGGCTGCGGTTCCTGCGGTTCTGTGTGGATTGGATTTGGGAAGGTTTATTTTTTTTTTAAGTAGATCCTCCCCCGCCCCCCCCTCCCCGCCCCCGGCCCAGGGCCACCCCCTGAGCTGAGTTGGTGGATGGCAATCTGTCTGGGAAAATCCCTTCTCTAGGCTCTGCTCAAAGATATCTTTAGGCGACATTGATGTTGAAGAAGGAATTTGCGCCCGCCCGTGCTCTCCACTTGCTGGGGCTTGCAGGGGTGTGGGTGGGGTGTGTTTGGGGGTCTGTGGGGAGGGGGCTGGGTGGCAGGGGAATCTTCCCTATTCCCCCATTCGGATAAGTGAAACTTACCTTACCTGTTTCCAGAATACCAACCATTGTCCTGCCCCAGCTCCCGGTCACCCTGTGGGCTCTGGCGAATTTTGTGGAAGAACAACAACAAAAAAAATGTCTTAAGTATTTAAACATGTCGGACCGCGCATGCATCCGTCCCCGGCGTTGTGGGTTTTTTTCTTTCTTTCTTTTTTTTTTTTGGTCCCCCTCCCCTTCCTCTCCTTTTCTTTTTACCAAAGTATATTCATCAAACTGCTGAGTTGGAAAGATCTGTAATGAGTTTTTGAGCTGTATGACTGTGTTTTTTTTCTCTCCCCCCTTCGTCTTTCTAAATCTTCATCTGACATTAAATAAAGCAAATCCCAAACAGATTAACTGTCGTACGGTTCTGCTCCGTCTCCTCAGTCTGTTCCCAGGTCTGGCTTGGGGCCGGGCGGCGGCGGCGGCGGCGGGAGATGCCTGGGCGGCCAGCAGAGGTCCATGTGGCGCGCTAGGTGGGATCCCGGCGTCCTGAAGGCAGAGGCCCTGGCCCTCCTGCCCTGCGGCCTGGGCATGGCGTTCTCCCAGTCGCACGTGATAGCCGCTCGGAGGCACCCACACAGCCGGCTCATCATTGAAGTGGACGAGTACAGCTCCAACCCCACCCAGGCCTTTACCTTCTACAACATCAACCAGGGCCGCTTCCAGCCACCGCACGTGCAGATGTAAGTGGGCCGGTCTGGGTGGGACCGGCTGCCCGGGGTGGGCTCGCGGATGCGGGGTGCCTCCCGGCCTCGGGGCCCAACGGCTGAGGATGCTTGTTGGCCGATGTGATTCTGGAGGCTCTGAGTGGGGAGGGATGTGTGAGACGTCGCTGGGACGGCCTGGAGGCCGGTTCTGGCTCCGAGTGCTGTTTCAGTTGGCCGGGAGATGTTTCACAAATATTTAACAATGAGGTGATGGCACATAAAAATCCAGACTTCTGGCTTTGCTTTAGGAAACCGCAAGTCCCAGCAACTGCGGGCCCACAAGGCCTCATGGCGATGTCTGGGGCACTGAGCTCCAGATGCCCCTTCTTGGTATTTGGGTTGGTGACTCCTGGTCTAATTCATGTTCCTCATTGTACAACCGGGGAGACTGAGGGCCCGAGAGGGAGGGGCCTTGCTCTAGGCTCCAGGCAGGTTGGGACCCTAGTTTTGGGCTGGCTGTCTTCCCTGACCTCTGTCTCTTTCTTTTGTCCAGCCGCTCGGAGGGGCTTCTATAGGGAAAGCAGAGATGCTTTCCTCAAGGACTGGGGAGTCCTGCTGCCTGCCCAGTGGGGCTGATGGAGAATTCCAGAGATGTCCCAGAAGGAAGGCCAAGGCGAGGGCACAGATTCGGGATCCCCTGGGACTGGGGGGAAACTTTCCCCTCCCTGGGTGGTTTTCTGAGGTCTGGAGAGGCAGGGGAAGCCCAGGGAGGAAGTGGTTAAACTCCTGGCTCTGCCCCAGGCAGCTCCTAGAAGACCCTCCCCCTCCTTTATCCCCGACTTCTTCCAGGGCTGTGAGCATCAACTCGAGGGAGCAGTGATAACGTGGGGGCCTGGTGGCTGTCCCTTTGGGGAGACTGGAGAATCTGGCTCGTGGACCACTTTGGAGAAGGAGGCCAGGGGGTTTCCAATCCCAGGCCAGGAGGTTGGGGGCGGGCGGGTCGCTGCCTCTGGTTCCCATGTGGCTCCCTCAGGAGCCGCCCTCTGTTGGGAAGTGTGAGCGCGGACAGATTCCTCATGGGAAGAAAGGCTCTGGAAGGCAGGCAGGCAGGCACCAGGCCTGGGGTGTGCTCTAGCCCTGGGCATGCACCCTCCCCTCGGTGCTTGCTGGGGAAAACGCTCATCTCTGTGGGCACTGAGGCCTGGTGTTGTCAGCAGCTGCCTGCTTTATTTTTTGGCACATTTCTACTTGCGGAACTAACTGCCTCCTATTTCCATTTTGGGGGCCGGATTGGCAGGTTGGGTCAAGACGGAAGGCCCAGGTTCGCAGCATTTGATTTCTTAGCGGTGGGGACCTTGAGGCCTGGCAGGGCCGCTGCAGGGAGGGAGACCTTCCCCAGGCCGGGTTTTGTCTTTTGTCCATGGGGTTAGTCCTCTGGGGCTGGAAGTGACCCTGCCTGGGGTCCCCGGAGGCTGGGCTGGACTCCTGCCCCAGCGGGGACGGGTAAGAGCACCTGGGTGGCAGGCAGAGCAGGTGGGGTTCATGTAGCCTGTGCCCCTGCCCCACTTAGAAGGGTCCCCGGGCACCGGAGATAATGTCGTGTGGCACCGTGCAGAGCTGTCGCTTACAGGGCCCCGCAGACACCCAGGCAGGCCCCAGCCCCAGAACAGAGCTGGGGGAACAGGAGGTCAGAGGGGAGGAGGCCTGCCCCACGCCCATGCCCATCTCACCCGGCCTGCTCCACGTGGCCACCTCCCGGGACAGGGGTTCCAGGCTGCCATCGGCAGCGGGGCTCAGGGGTTTGGGCAGTGAGTGCCCCGGGAAGAGCATGCCCCGAGCCCTGGTTCTGGGCTCCTCTCGTCCAGTGTTCCCTCATTGCCTGCTCAGGCCAGCCCGGCTCTGAGACGCAACTTGGCATAAAGCCGGGGGAAGCCAGGGCCAGACAGGGATTGGGGGGCTGCTTCCTCCCACCCCCCCTTCTTTCAGACTGCAGGCCCCCAGCACGAGGGAAGCGTGCGGGCTGCTGACGGTGGCTGTGCAGGTTTCCATGGCGAGTCTCCATCGTGGGAGACACAGGGAGGATGGATGCCGCTTCCCAACACATGATTTATCACTGCCCTGGGCTTTGTCTCCGGGGTGAGGGATCGAGGGGCCGTATTTAATAAATCCACAATTTATATTGAATAACAACAGTGACAATCCAAACGTGGCCCCCGGTTGAGCCGTGTGATTTATGTGGTTGCCCCAGAGACCCTGGGGGTGATGAGACTGCCTTTGCCTGAATAATAAATCTCTGGATCTGGGCCTCTGGGTTCAGGGCCCCGAGACCAAAGATCCCTCACCCTGAAGTCCTAGAAACCCTGTGGTGGCCTAGGGAGAGCCCCTCCAGGTGCCAGCCCTTCTGCCCTGTGGGGGGCCGGGTGCATGTGTGGCCCTGTGACCGGTGAGAAGCCTTGATGGGCAGGATTATCCTGACGGTCTGCCTGAGAGGTGCCTTGGGGGCTGGTGTCGGGCATGGTGACTCTTCTCACTGACCTTTAAAAAGAATCCTGTTGGTGGAGACTCGAGTCATCCCATTTAAAGACCCTCCAAGCACATCTTGAAGAATGTGGCCGAGGGGTGCCTGGGTGGCTCAGTTGTTAAGCGTCTGCCTTCAGCTCAGGTCATGGTCCCAGGGTCCTGGGATTGAGCCCTGCATTGGGCTCCCTGCTCCACGGGAAGCCTCCTTTTCCCTCTCCCACTCCCCCAGCTTGTGTTCCTTCTCTCACTAGCTCTCTCTCATCAAATAAATAAATAAAGTCTTAAAAAAAAGAATGTAGCCAAGTGGCTGGAGCATGGCTGTGAGCCCGGCCTGGAGATGCCCCTGTGTGCCGGGCTCCTGGACCTCCTAGCCGTTCCCGGTCAGTGCGTTCATCCCCTCTCCGATGCGCTGAGGTTTCAGAGGGGACCCTGTGGTCCCAGCCCATCCACACACTGAGAGGCCCCCAGAGGCAGTGGGGGTCGGCCTTGAGCCCAGAGAGGACGGAGGGGCAAGGCAGAAGGAGAGGTGAGGCCTGGAACATTCTGTGCCTCCTCCTGCCTCAGGTCCCTGCGTGTGCTGTCACTTCTGCCTCCCCCAGGCTTTGCCCTGATAACAAGGACTCATTCTTCAGATCTCACCCAGCCGTCACTTCCTCGGGAAGGCTCTCTGATGGCTCGCCAGACCAGGTCTCCCCTTCCCTCGAAGCTGGCCCCAGCTCTAGGGGCTCTCCCTGCCACCAGCCTGGAGCTGGGCCCTGGAGCCTAGCACAGCAGAGAGATAGGAAGAAGAAAGAAAAGGGAGTGAGGATAAGGCAGGGAGTATGGCCCCAGAAGAGTGGGGGAGATCTAGGAGGGATTCCTGGGGGCAGCGGCATAACCCCTGGGCTAGAAGGACCAGCAAAAGCAAAGGCTCAGAGGTGGGAAGGAAGGGCAGGCACGGGACTCAGGAGGGCAGCGTGGTGGGGGTCACCTCAGAACGAGGGCCTCGTGAGAAGAGCACTGGGCATTTGTGTGACACTGAGCTAATCAGTCACTGCCTGGGTCTCAGTTTCCCCACTGTTGAATGAGGGGAGGGGATTGGTAGGCTCTCCCATTCGGGAACACTTTGGCTGCTGCGCAGTCACTTGTCTAGACATGTGGTTGGAACCTCACTGAAGGGAGGAGTCCTCTGTCCCCCCACGGCCCCCCATCCTTCAGAGCTCCCCATTTCCCCAGAAGTAGAGATGACGGAGGGGACGGCCTCTGCAGAGTTTTTGCACTTCCAGAGAGCCAGTGGCTCATGGGAGGGGGAGCCCCGAGAAGGGCCAGGGCCCAGGAAGCGGCTGCAGGGGGCACTCATACCCAGCCTTCGAGCCTCGAAGGTCTTTGAGTTTTCACACCTTCTCCCAGAGTGAGCAGGCTGTCCCCACCTTACAGAGCTGGCCTGGAGGGTGGGAGGGTCCAGGGCACAGTGAGGAGGTGGCCCAGTTGGGGTGCAGGCCTAGTCTGGGCGCCGGAGGCCATGTTCTCTATTCTGCACCCTTCCTGCCGCCATGATCCCTGTGGGAATATCCCTTGTTAGGCGGGGGAGAGGTGGCGACAGGTTTCAGGTCTTAGAGAGAAAGCTGCAACTGTCACCTTGTCTCTGGCCCCTGCAGAATGTCCCTGGAAAATAACCATTTTGCTTTGTTTTCTCTTGTCACAGAAGGTGTTGGGGTTAGATGCCTAAATTCCTGTCGTGAAGACCCAGGTTCAAATCTACTCTTTAACTTGCTAGCCAAGGCCTTGGATACAGGACTAACGTTTCCAACCTCAGTAACTCCCTGGGACCGCTGTGACTCAGGTGTTAGCCAGTGTTTGGCATGACAAGTGTCAGAAACCCAATGTGAGTTGTCTTAAGGGTAAAAGAAGAGTTTACTGGCTCACCTAGTTAGTGAGAAAGTCCATGTTTGGACCCAGCTTCAGGTATGTCAAGCTCTCCCACCTTCTGGTATGCTGCCTTTCTTTCTCTTTCTCCATATCTTGACTCTTCTTCTTCTTCTTTTTTTTTTAAGATTTTATTTATTTATTTGACAGAGAGAGAGAGAGTGAGAGCAGGAACACAAGCAAGGGGAGTGGGAGAGGGAGAGGGAGAAGCAGGCTTCCCGCAGAGCAGGGAGCCTGACGCGGGGCTCGATCCCAGGACCCTGGGGGTCATGACCTGAGCGGCAGACGCCCAACGACTGAGCCACCCAGGCGCTGCATATCTTGACTCTTCTTTTTCTTGTCCTCGTCTGTAAAATGGGCATACCCATAGTACCCTGCCCACACAGTCACTGTGAGCGCAAGGACAGTGAGTGTGTGTCATGCGCTTAGCAGATGACCAGCTCTCGATCTGGGAGAAGCATCAAGCACCCATCCCATTATCATTTGTTGTTATTTCAATACAAAATACAAGCCAAATAGCTGGAGGATGGTGCAGGGAAGTAAGATTCTTTATTTTTTTCTCTGGGGATTATTAGGTTTGCATCCTCACTGAGCTCAGTAGCCTCGAGGTGGAGGGAAATAAGCACGTAGTTAATTAAAGAGCCCGGGCTCCAGCAGCAGGCCAGCCCCACTGGAGCCCTCAGAACTCACGCTACTGGCTGATGGCGGGCGGGTCTGAGGCCTGCTCAGGCTCCTTGCTAAGGGGCTCAGGGGAGGAGAGCTTGTTGGGACCGGAGGTGGCTCTGAAGGTGGCATCTCGCTCCCTGTCTCTGCCTTCTTCGTCTCTCTTGTCTCTTTGACTTGGCCTCTGTCACCTTGTGGCATGCCCACGACCTCAGTGTGTGTAGGGGTGAATGAGTGAATGAATGAATGAATCTGATTGGCTCACTCATGTTCCTGTGCCAGGACGAGAGCCCAGGAGCGATCGGCTGCCCTGGGTCCAGTAGCTGTGTTGGGGCAGCAGGATGTGCAGGTGACCCGCAGGCCTGCCACCTGCCAGACTGTCTGTCAGGGGCTGGGGCGGGGGGAGGGGGCAGAGGAGGGAAGGGACTCAGAGGACAGAGGCGTGGGAGGGGAGATTTTAGCTCCCAGACCAGCTCAGGTCCTACCTCCCCCTGGAAGCTTCTGTGGAGCCCCTTGTTGGGGTAGGGCCTTCTCTGTTGCCCCATCAAAGCTGTCTGGCCGAGTCTGTCTCTGCCATCAGTCTGGAGTCTCTTGGCCTGGGATCAGGCCTGGTTCATCCCTGTGGCCCCAGCATTGAGCTCAGGGCAGGCCCACAGCGGGTGGGCAGAATGTGCTGGGCTGAATGAATGAATGAATGAATGAAAGGATGCTTGGATGCAGAAGGAAGAGGAAGAGTCCCAGTGCCTTCTTGCTGGTTGCCATTGGACTCAGGGAATCTTCCTGTTCTCCCTGGTCACACCTCGCTCGGACCTGCTGGGGGTCTAATTCGGCTCGAACACCCCCCCTCAAGGGCCAAGCGGGCTCCCGGCACCGGGATGCCATGCAGAGAGGCTGGCTTGGCGCCTCCGACTGTGGTGGATAGAGCGTTCTAATGCTCCCTGCACATTAGCATGCTGAACCCACGTCTCTCGTAAGGTGTTAATTAAATTTCTTCGAAGTATATTGTCTGAAAAAAAAAAAAAGGATAATTAGAAAGATGTCTTTAAAAGTATTTATGTAACTGATACGGTACCGCTTTTGGTTTGCCGCATAATTAGATTTAAACACAACTCCTAGAGCCGCATACTCATTTGGAGATAGCTGCTCGTTGAAATGTCATTGTGTTGTTTTTAAGAGTTTTGAGCCTGGCAAAATCATTCAGCTGAGGAGGTTGAATGTGGCAGGGGGAGCACTGAACTGGGAGCACAGAGGCCACTCTCTCAGTGCCGTTGTCTGCGGAACCAGAGGGCTATGGTGGGCTTCCCGGAACAAGAAGTTACATTCCTGCAGCTCTTTTAATTTTCTGGTAATTTTTGCTTAGTGAGGTAGCTCCATTTTACAGGCAAGCAAAGCAAGGCCAAGTTGAAGGTCATACATTAGTGATAAGGGGCAGAGCTGGGGTTTGAAGCCTGGTCTTCTGATTCCAGGACCCTTTTCCTACACACCCATGGGAAGCCCTTGTTTTTGTTTTGTTTTTAGAGATTTTATTTATTTATTTGAGAGAGATAGAGGGAGAGCATGAACTGGGGGCGGGCAGAGGGGGAGGGACAAGCAGACTCCCCACTGAGGCTCGATCCCAGGACCCTGAGATCACAACCCGAGCTGAAGTCAGATGCTGAACCTCCTGAGCCACCCAGGCGCCCCTGGAAAGCCCTTGTTTTAAAAATGATGGGACCATCTCAGAGTTTAGAAAAACTGCCTTGGTTTCACGTGCTCCCGTGAAGTCCCCGCTTTCCCACGCGGCTCTCCCTGGGTGCTGTGCGTGCTTCGAGGGGCGCTGCGGGGGGACAGCTCTTTCACTAGGGCCAGAGACTATAGCCCTTGCCTTGTTGATGGGGCTGACGGCGTGCCCAAGGGGGTGAATGAAACTGGTTTTTAAGGGGTGAAAAAAAAGTTTATTCTTATTATAAAGCCCAGATATACATACAGTGCATGAACACATATACAGCTATCTATGGTGTTAAAATCTCATGGGAGGGGAGCGAGTAGGGAAAAAACATCTAAAGAGGCCCCGCAGGGGTGATGGGAGAGAGGGTTAGCAAGAGCCAAACAGTGGGTTAGCTGTTACAATCACAGAGTGCCCACTGGTGCTCCCCACTCGTTACCTCCTTGGACCCTCCGAGGGCCCCGTGTTATAGAAGGGAAACTGAGGCCCGGGGGACCACACATTTTTGCCCGGCTGGCGAGCAGAAGAGTCAGGACTCGGACCTCCGATGTCCCATTGGGAAGGCTGGGCGCACCGTCTGTGTTCGGGGTGGACGTGGTCCAGGTGGACAGGGCTGTGAGGTGTGGCTTCAGCCATGGGCTGGACACGGGTCACCTGCCGTGTCTTCTCTCCCTGCAGGGTGGACCCCGTGCCTCACGATGCCCCCAAGCCGCCCGGCTACACCCGCTTCGTCTGTGTGTCTGACACCCACTCGAGGACGGACCCCATCCAGATGCCCTACGGCGACGTGCTGATCCACGCCGGGGACTTCACAGAGCTGGGGCTCCCCAGCGAGGTCAAGAAGTTCAACGAGTGGCTTGGTAGGTGCTGGGCAGGAGGTGGCCTTGCTCTGCTCCCCGGGGAAGCCCTCCCTGACCTCCCACTCTGTCACACCTCGACGTCTCCTACCCCAGCACCTGTCTCAGCTGTGACTTGTTTGTGTGATTCTTTTGGCCTGGGAGATGCCCCCCCGAAGGGATTTTGCTCAGGTCTGTTTATGTCCACTGGCGTGTCCAGCCCCCGATGCCTGGTACAGGTAGGTGTTCAACAAATAATTGGTGAGTGAATGAATGAATGAATGAATGGGCGAATGAATGAATGTCTCTCTGGGAATGGCGATGTCCGGGCAGGCACCACCCACCGCCCTTGTGACGGCTTCCCCAGTGAGGGGACCCGCCAGCAAGAGGACACGAGTAGGCCCCTCCTGGGGGCAGCTGAGCGCTGTGGGCAATGGTGGGCGATGATTTACAAGCATACCCCCAGGGATTTGTCTTCAGCTTTTTGCTTTCTTCCCAAACAAAAACGACATAAATATGGAGTGCGCCTGGGAAAAGCTGCTTGCTTGGAATCCAGAGAAACCTCCGAGGGTGTTGTCGCTGCCGTGGCCTGGGGGACAGATGGAGGGCCCCTGGGTGGCCTCGCTACGAGCTTCCGGTCTTAGAGGTGTGGGTGCAGGGCCAACCCACCTCAGGGCCCAGCCCCGCTCCCTGGGCTGCCAGCCGGTCCCACCCCCAGGGCCCTCCTGCTGCACAGTTGGCTGGGAGCTCCGTGAGCAGAGGGCCAGGAGCGGCGCGGGAGGCTGCAGTGAGCGAGGGGCCCAGCTCCACCAGTAGAGACAAATATTTACAAGCAGGGCCTTCCCCTCTGCTTGGCAGGCTTGGAGCTTTAAATATTGATTTTTTGAATGGGAAATTCTGATCAAGTGCCCTGCTTGGGCTGGATCGTGTGAAGGACGGGGTGGGAGAGAGCTCCTGCAGGGTGGGTCGGCCGCAGGCTTCTACCGGCCCCGTGCTGCCTCCTGGCCCCGGCCGCCCCCTAGGAGGGGGTCCTCGCTGGCCTCTCGTCCCCCTGGCTGTGGGTCTCCAAAGATGTGAGGCTGCACTTGGCTGAGCCAAGAGCCTATGTCTGAGGCAGATGCCAGGCTCCCACTGTGGGCCAGACAGTGTGTCACTTCATTGTTTATGCTCACTTGCGTGAATGAATGAATGAATGAATGAGTGACTCTCTGGGAATGGCGATGCGGGGGGCAGGCTGTGTGTACCGTCATACATGACTTTTGGGAACTAGGTGAATTTAGGGACAGGTGCTGTTTTTGTCCCAATTACGAAGTAGAGGATGTCAGCCCGAGGTTCTCACCCTGAGGTTCTCTGGGGGGGGACTGTTTCCGACGAGCCCCCGGCTCACGAAGAGGTCCCATCCCCGTGGAGTGGATGAATGAACCAAACAGGTTTTCCCTGCTGTTGGTGCAGGGAAAGGGGGCTGTTTCAGGCCGAGGGGAGAGTGGAGGCTGGGCGTGCAGGCGGACACTTGAGAGGAGCCGCTGTTTGCTGTGGCCGGCGAGGGGCTTTGGGGCATTGAGGGTCCTGGAAGAGAGGGCTGTTCTGACCACAGCTCTGAACCTCAGGATCACTGGGGGTGCAGGGGGCCAGCACGGCGAGGTGGGCATTTTAGAGACATCGTTCTACCTGCCTCTTCACAGAAGTCAGAACAACCATGGGAATTTGGGGGTCTTCATAATTTGCACTTGGAACTGCATTGATTTATTTGCCTGGGCTGTTGCTAGGGGTGGGGAGTGTGAGCTTACAAAGGGGTCTCCCTTTTAGAAAAGTTTCCTTTCCCCCAGGCTTCTCCCCTTGACTGCTTTGAAGTGTTTGTAGACGTCATTCAAGTAGGGTGGGCTGGGGTCGGGGGGCCTTAAACCCAAGAATGAGGAGTCCCTCTCGTACTTGATTGAGTGGCAAGGAATTCGCATGTGAGTGAACGTTTAAATAGGAGCAGCTTCTAGAAGTCCATTTGCAGCTGGCTTTTTGGGAACATGCTTGTTGTACGAAAGTAAGACTCATCCTCCTCGGGCTGGCAGTTCAGGTCCCCGGGGATGTGGTGGTCGTGGCTGAGAGGTGGGCGGTGCGCTCATTAGGTCCGTGTAGGTGCATCCATCTGGACACATGTGCATCTTTAGACAGCTAGTGTTTAATGAGCGATAGTATGTGCCAGACACTCTTCTATGCCCTTTGTGTGTGTGATCAAATCATTAATCCTCCTGACAACAGAATGAGGGGGGAGCTGTTGTCATCCCCATTTTGCAGAGGAGGAAACTGAGGCCCAGAGAAGTGAAGTGACTCACCCAAGGCCACACAAATAGTAAGGGGCGGAGCTAGGATTCCAAGGCAGGCAGTTGGACTCCAGAGCCGAGCTCATGCTGACCCGTATCTCCTTTCTTGGTCTTCTTACGGTGAAATCTCTCTGATTCAGTGTAACTGGACTTTGCCAGTTGGGGCCGGATGTCCTGGGTCTGCTTCCTGTCCTGCTAATTACAGAGGCCACGTGACCTCTCTGAGCTTCAGTGGCCTTATTTTTGAGGCAGGTGGTCAGACTCCCTTTGCCCTGCCTCCCTCTTTGGAGGTGGATTTTTTCCAGGCTCCATTAGGATGGAGGAATTGACTGAGTTTTATAAACTGTGAAGTGCTGTGTACCTCGTACCATTGCCCCCATGATCTGGCGTTTGCCAGATCAGGCCTCCCCTTGGGGTAGAGGTAGGGGTCATGGGTGGGTCCCGCAGGAGGGGGGGCATCTGATCATGAGGTCATGAGGCTGAGCAGCAGGGAGAAGGGGTAGAATAGTTTGTGTGCAAAAGTGTGTGGAGTTTCTGAGAAATGTTGATGTATGATCTTAGCTATGTTGGCAATTTACACACACACACACACCCCCGGAGAAAAGACCGGAAGGAAGTACTCATTCACCCATTCAGTCTATCTCACTGAGAACCCACCACGTGCCACGTGTGTCTCAGGCACTGGGGTGACAGTGGGGTGGGAGGAACAGGGCATGCTCGCATTCCGGTGATGGGGACGTGGTGCATCCTGGGAGGCGGGCTCGTGTTCACATAGGCCTGTGGGCCAGGGACCAGAGTTTGGGGTTGATTCTAAGTGCAGTGGGGATTTTGGGGAGGTTCATTAGGGGAGTGACCTTTAAAAAGGTGTTCGAAGGCCTGGATTTAAGAGTTAGATTGGAAGCAAGGAGGCCAGTGAGGGCAAAGTCTCTGGAATGTTCCAGAACCGAATGTCTGAGTGGGAGGATCATGGGGGATTTTCTTCTTTATGGTTTTCTCTCTCCTCCACCTCGATTTTCTATAGGGAGCATGTGTTATTCTGGTGGCATCATATAAAGGGAACAGTAAAATCTTATTTTTTTTAAATATTTTATTTATTTATTTGAGAGAGAGAGCAGAGAGAGAGCACAAACAGGGGGAGCGGCAGGCAGAGGGAGAAGCAGGCTCCCCACTGAGCAGGGAGCCCGATGCGGGGCTCGATCCCAGGACCCCGGGATCATGACCTGAGCCGAAGGCAGACGCTTCACTGACTGAGCCACCCAGGCGCCCAAAATCTTATTGCTTTTAAAGAAATCTTGGCCTCTCTGGTATCTGATGCAGGGTGGGAGTGAGGGCAGCACTGACCTCAGGCCAGTCCTAGTGTCATCCAGCCACTCAGGAGGTCACCTGGAGCCCTTCCCTAGGCTAGCAGGGCCCCACCTGCCTCTCGGCCCCACTGGCCCAGGCTCTCCTCGGATAAGAAGTTTTACAGATTTGAAATTCACAGCTGGCTTCTTCCCTGTTCATGGATGTCATGGAAAGCATTTAAAATCATATTCCAGGGGCTACCTCCAGACAGACAAGAGGAGATTTAAGAAATTAATAAAGGCCTTTATAAGTCAAGATTAGGCACCTAACTGGGGGTGTGTGGCTAAATTCAAGCTGACTCTAATTTGCTGGCAGGTGCATTGCTCTGGGCTTGGCTGTGAGTGGTGACCATGTTCTGCCCATTTACAAGGTTCTTTCTGGGTCTGAGTTCGTTGGAGGGGGCGGGATTGGGGGGGTGACAGGGTTCTCCTGAGAAGACCATTAATATCTTTCCTGTTGGCCACTAATATCCCAAACATATTCATGAAATAGAAATGCCAGCTTAATTTGTAAATGTTCCAGGGAACAGCTAAACAATTGCTAAGGACAGGCTTTTCAGCTCTAAGGAGAGAAAGGGACAGCAAAACTTGCTGAAAATGGAAGAGAATGTGCTAGAAGCTCCTTGCTCCTCCACAGCTAAAGACCTCAATGTCACCTGAGCCACATTGGCTAACTGCAGTCCTCGTTCTCCACTCCGGGTCTTGGCTCATGCTCTCCCCCCAGTGGGGAACGTTCCTCCTCCATCCTACGGAGTCCTGCCCACCCTCAAGGGTCGGGGTCTGTGAAGCCTGCCCCACCCCGTTGGGCAACATTGGTCTCTCTTCCCTCTGTGTACTCAGAGCTCCCAATTCAGGCCCTGGTGGCGGCCCTCACTTCGTGGCAGGGAATTATCTGTGCCTTCATGCCCCCGTCCCCCACCTAGACCGTCAGCCCCTGGAGGGCAGGGCTGAGCCTCATCCCCAGCAGCAGCCAGCACTCGGCCCCAGGAGGCCCTGGACAGAGGCTGTGGGCTCGGGCTGGACTGGAGTGAGTGGGGTACTGGTACATGGTGAGCCCGTCACTGCATCCCCAGCAGGCCGTGCACAACCAGCTGCCGTCGGCGGGGGGAATAGCAGTAAGAGGGGGCTCTGAGGGGCGCAAGCTGTTGCAACATGGAACTTGCGGGGAGTCTGAGAAGACCCAGGGTCGGAGGCTGAGTTGGGGTCTCCACTATGAGGCCAGGAGGTGAGGCTAGCAGGGATCTGGACCCAAGCGAGGTGGGCCAGGTATGCCAGGTGGGCGTATGGGGACCCCCTTGGAGGCCAGGGCTGCTGAGGGCAGGAGGAGAGGCTGAGCACCCACCTCCCAGGATGCCAGCTGACCTGA